GCGACTCAATAATGTTGACGCTTTTGTTCTATGACAATTGAGCTTGACAAGATATCATGATGAGATTATCATGTGCTGACCAAATTATACTTAAGAAGTCACCTTTGACGAGTACGGTGGAGGAATTTGAACCATCCTTAATTTTCAAGCTTTTTAGCTCATTCTTGTTTAAATTAACAATAAGCGTAAGCTGGAAATAATGAGTATAGGTTATTTATACAGCACCATCCAGCATCTCCACTGTTTGAAGCACTCAAATATGCTCAATTTCGCACTTGGGAATTTTTCACATTGCACAGTAGCACATTCCAAATCACTGCAGCTTTATCTATGACTTATGGGTCAATCGTACCTTAGATAACAGACCTCAACAAAGGCAATTTGTTAGCATTTCCAAAGGACTGTCTCTCTAGACCTTATGGCCGCCTGAAAAGAAGTACTGGTGTAGTGAAAATAATGCCAATAATTGTTTAGAATATTAAATGAATCGGGATAACACTCTTAAGGGGCTAGCATCTGTAACCCATCAGAACTCAACTAGCAACCTTTCAAACCGTTTTACGTATCCCCCACAGAAAAAAAAACATAAACACTTAAATTTAAAATTTGCCTCCCGACTCTAAGTTATTTCAATCGTTGAAGGATACCACATAGCAGAGGGCGAATTTTTAGATATGTTTCAACTTCGGCTTACTAAGTGTTGCGCGACAGATAATAAAAATGTCCAGCTCAGACCCAAGGTTGGTTTGAAATTATGCCTTATATGGATAGACGATTACAGCACGAGTAATTGTGCAAATTGGATATGTAATTCGTGATCATTATGTGAAATAGTAGCCAATACCAGTTGCAGAACAGCTTTGCAAGAAGATCTTCGAAAGTATAGGCAATCAAAATTCTTGGAAGCAGCACAATGAAGGAAAAGTCTAAAAAAGTACCGCAGGGACCTTCTCGGCTATCGTATTCCGCTGACAACATTACTAAACGAAGACGGGGCTCGCACATCCTTCCGGCAAAAGATGGAATCGATCACGAAGAGATTCTACACCCATCTCTTTCGCCTCAACACCGTATCAAACCCCGTTATTCCCACTGGAGAAATACCACCAAGGATTCTACCTGCTGAAGTACGCGCCGCAAATAAGACCATAAATGCAGCCACGACTCCGGGACCGGACCATATTACGGTCGACCTCTTATGAGCTGAAGGACATCGCATATATGAGATATTTGCGGAGCATCTAACGTCCTACCTTCAAAAGGAAAGAATTCCCGACCAGTGGAAAACCTCCCAAACAATCCTTCTTCATAACAAGGATGATGGGGAGGATCTTCGGAACGTCCTATAAGCCTGCTGAGCGTGCTTTACAAGCTCTTTACGAAGAATATTCCCGCTCGCATATCAAGGACACTGGATGAAGCCCAACCTATAGAACAAGCTGGATTTCACCGGGGATTCAGCTGCATGGATCACATCCAGACAGTTTCGAGGACTATCAAGGTTTACCGAGAGTACCGCTTACCTCTCGTCCTAACCTTCGTTGTCTATGAGAAAGCGTTTGGTAGCGTCCAGACTAAGAGTCCAGGTCCACCCGTTGGTCGGCGAGCGCTAATAGACTAATGCCATACTGTCAGCACTCGTCGACCAAGGGGTGGACCCATCTTACCTGAAGACATTGGCCGACTGCTACAGGAATTGTTCTACAACGGTACAGCTTCTTCATCGTCCCCTTAA